TCAAGTTAATCTGTAGTGTTAGAATTACTTCCCTTTTCCCTGTGTACTCTTCCTTGCCCCTTGTGCCACCTTCTCTCCCCCTCCACCCACACCTGCAATCACTTAGCTCATCAGCCCAGGCATTTTGTTCAGCATTCAACCTCCCCATTATTTAAGCCTTTGTTTCTGATTCATTAGTATCCTCTCTTCTTGTCATCTTTCCTGTCTGCTCGCCATTGTCAGCGCCCCCTGGAGTTCATGGTCTTGTTCCTTTTTTGCCTTCCTCTGCAAGTTTCTTCATCTTTTCATTAAAATCACAAAAAATCAACTCTATGTTACATGCCTGCTTCTTAATGGGTCCACTCTACAAACACTGAACATGACAGAACAATCCAGCCAGTAGGACCCAGCAGAATTCCTGTATTTAAGAGAATCTTAACAATTACAACTTACTTAGAAAATAATTAATTGACACCATGGCAAAATCATGTTCACTACCCCAAAGATTTGCTTTGTGGCGACAAAGTAAATGTGGTGCAGGACTGGATTCCAAATCTCCCTTCCATAGGCTTAACGGAGTTGTTCAAGGAGGCAGAGTGGCACCATCAGGCAGCTCTGACAGTAATGGCTGGCAATCCACCTCCAGCTTAGTAATAAGCGCATACAACTCCAGTATTAAGCGCCTCTACATCGGTCCCAGCCTTCTGCCCTTTGCCCTTCTCCACAATTCCTGTTACTCCTTCCCGGTCTCCACTCTCCAGATCTCTAGCCGCGGCTTCATCTTCAGCAGCTGCAGTCACGTCTCCTGCACCAGTCTCGTCTCCAGCCACATTCCCAGCCAGCAACATCAGTACCCATTCTTACATCAGCAGCAGCACCTCAGGCTCCAGGTTTCCACAGCTGTGGAACTAGGTTGTACGGCTAGCTCCTGGGCTCCAGACTACCCAGTCTCCCAAGCTCCACAGTGTTTGTCAGTCTCCTGAGTACCACAGTTCTCTCCAGCCCCTTGCCTCCGAGGGATGCAAGGACGACCCGCCTCTGTTCCCAGTGCCACTTCGTGATTCCCCAGCTCCCGAGCCTCTACATCGGTCTAAGACATACACCAGTCTTAAGGGAAGGATTTTCAGGCCCTTCATCTGCTGCCAGCTCTTCAAGTTTCACTGATGCTGGTCAGCAAGCGACAAGCGTCCTGGACTCGTCATAGCCAACAACTCTGGCTTTGAGCTCTTCGTAGAGATGGAATGGTTCTAAAGTATTAAGAACTCTTCTAAATCCCAGATTTTCCATAACAGAAAATGCCCTCATAAAACCTGCAATAAAAATGCCAATGTATGTTGTTATTGCTGCAGCAGCCACATGAGAGTGGAAGCTGAGATGCAAAAACATTTTTCAGCATGTCTGCAGTGTTGGCAATTTCTTCACTTGTGATGGTCCTGAAGGTCTCTTTGCATTGTGCTAGTGTTAGTCACGGTGCACAGTAATATATTCTTGAAGTGTTTACATATTGTTCATGTCTTGTCTGTCACTCTGTTGCCGTTTCTCATTTCTACTGGAAACACAAAATGCTCCCAAACAAACAATTTAAAAGTATTGGGGGCAACTTCTATTGCAACTTTATCGGGTGAAGCCACGCTGACTGGGACTGGCTTTACAACTGATCATTGTTTAAATTCCACAGCCTACCTGCGTATTGTTACTGAACATGTTCACCTCTTCATGACTATGACCAGTGTCCACATCTTCTAATGGTTGCTTCCAGCAGGATGTTATGAAGACCAGCTTATCTCAAAATGACAATGAATTCATCTACTTCAAAGGCGTCCACAGTCACCAAATCTCAACCCAATATAAGCAGTTTTAAAAGTAAACTGCTTATATCCAAAGAGGGTTTTAGCAAACTGTACCTAATAAAGACTCTTGTGAGTGAAAGTAAGACTCCTCTCAGATGTTTCTCTAGTTTAGTTGCCTTTGGCGATCGTTGCAGATGCTCTGGCAGACACATTTTACTCTGTGGGTTTTGCGATGAGCCTGTGCCAGCTGCTCTCCATCCTGGAGATCTTCCACATCGCAGACGGCATCGAGAAGGCTCGGCTCCTTCCTCGCTTCATCCAAGTGTGTGCAGCAGTTCACCTCTTTGTTGATGCCTTTTTGATTCTAACAATCTCTGGTTTCATCATGATTTCTTTGGTTAGGTGATTGAGAAAAACATTCTGCTGATTATGGTCATCATGTTGGAAGAGATCCAAAGTAAGCCAGTGGTGTGTGTGCAGTTTTTCCTGTGGAATATACTGGACCTCTTACGGTGAGCAAACAGCCAGTCACATATCTTATGAGCACCAAGCCCGTTTCACTCAGATCTTTCAAAGTAAAAGTGAGAAGGGTTTTGTAATAAATAGGCATTTGTTAAATTTTACACATAAAAATTGGTCTGTTAGTTGCATTCTTCACACTACAAGTATACATATTCTATATTCTTCGAGCTACTCAAACCTAATGTAAGGCTGCAAAAACTCAACAAGAAACCAAAAGCAAAAAGTATATTATTTATAATATCAGTATATTATTTGCTTTATGTAATTGTAACTGCACACATGCTTATTACTTAATCTATGATGCTTAGTTAAAAAAAACAGTACTTTGTTGTCTTTGTCTCTGTTCCACATTTATAACATTGTCTCTTTGTACACGATGTTAGTTTATTATTTCCAAATCAAAAGATTCATTGGAGATATTTTCACATTTCCATTCCTAGCTAATGGTAGAAGTAGATGTTTAAAATTTCGCAAATATAGATGCATCATGCAACCATGCTGTAAGCGCAACTTCATAAAACAAGAGCATTCTTATCCTGAATGACATTTGTTGCCACATTTAATGTAGTAATTCTCTACATTTTATCTGTGTTGTAGTTTCTGAGTCAGAAGGATCTTCTTAGCAATGTCTAGTTGCTAAAATAATTTAGGGTTAGCAAGCAGCATCCCCAAAAGCCTCTGAACCTTTGTAAGAACAGACCTTGAAGTTCTGATCTGAACACCATGGAGTAGGTGTGGGAAGAAAACAATTTGATTTGATTTTAACTCACATAAATTATGTGAGTTAAAATCACCTCAGTATCGTCGGTCCATTCGTTTTCTTCCCACACGTACTTCATGGTGTTCAGATCAGAACTTCAAGGTCTGTTTTTACAAAGGTTCAGAGGCTTTTGGGGATGCTGCTTGCTAACCCTAAATTATTTTTTTGTTTTGTGCTGCTGTGCCTTGGTTAAAAAACAACACTGTCACTTTCTGATGCTCGTTGGAATTTAACTCTGCTTCCTTCAGTTAAAGCACAATTAGAGGAAGTGGATTTGTGTAGAAATACACCTAAAGAGGACATTGCCAACTGTAATGTCCAAACACACTTCCCTTATCAGGTCAAACAGTGCAACACACTGCATGTCCATGGGTGCGTTCACAGCCTGAAGTGACCCAATTCCGATTTTTTTGCCGGGGCCGTTCACACTGCCAGTAAATGCGAACTTCTGCAGTGTGAACGGTCAAACGATCTGAAAGTGTCCCGCATGCGCACTAGAGGGCGCAATAGCATCAGCGTTCTCAGTGTTCTGTCAACTGCCATAAAAAGAAGAAGAAGAAGAAGAAGAAGAAGAAGAAGAAGAAGAAGAAGAAGAAGAAGAAGAAGAAGTTGTTGTTGTTTTTGGAAGTAAACATGGAGGCTAACGGTGGAGCTTAGCTTACATATTTGAAGTTGTTGTCCGGCCGGAGCAGCATATTAACAACTTAATCCTCATATAATCCATCATGGTTGTTGTTTTTCTTCCCGCTTGCACGTATCAGGACGCAGAATAGTGAGATTTGTTGAGAATCAGTGACGTTCGGTTCGGATGAATGCGACCTGAACGTTAGGTCACATTTGAATCGGATACGTATCGGATATGGGTCACATTCGAAAAAGAATCCGACCTGTGCTGTTCACACTGCCATGAAAAGATCGGATACAGGTCGCATTATGTCAAAAAAACAACAACACTGGGCTACTTTAGGCTGCAGCCTGAAGTGGCCCAGTGTTCAGGCTGCAGTGTGAACGCACCCCATGTTGCCTGTCACATCTTGTGAGTTGTCTGTACTTCAGGTACCCTCATGAACTTCTGTGTGTTATGGAAAGACCTTCCGTCGCCATGTTGTGGAGCCGTTACTCTCTTTGGATCCCCTTATACATCCTGTCAGTTATCATTGAAGGTGAGTAAGCTTCAGAAATCTGAATGCATGCTGTGCCTTTAAAATCATGATGTCCCCTAAAATGTTTAACATGGTGTCACCTTTTAATCAGAAACTTCATTGTTCTTCACTTTACATCACAGAGTAACACAAACTTGTGAATATGAAGCAAAAGAAAAATGCAGAAGATCTGAGACCGAGGCAGAGGTTCCACCACCCTGAACAGTTGTTTTAAAATGGTCTATTTAAAGTCCAGATTGAAATACAACTGAGAATCTGCGGCAAAACTTCAGACAATCAGATGCTAAGAAGAAAAACATCTTCAGCTTACTGGTACCAGAGACTAAAACTGAAACTGCAACCAATGATGGCTCTGCAACAGGGGTGTCCAAACTTATTCTCCCATGGGCCAAAATCAGCAAGTTAAATGTACAAGGATACAGTACAAGGATAAAAACTATAACTTTTTAAAAGCTACAAAAAAATTTCAGTCTTTTATATGCTCTACATTAAATTATGCAGAATTTTTATTGTTTTTTTTTTTTTTTTTTTTTTTGTAGGAAAGAGGTCAATGTTGAGCCAAAATCTGAAAAGGAGTTTTCCATGTTTGTCTCACTAAAAGAAAGGCATCCAGCTTGAACATTATATGGGATTCAATTGGAAAAAGTATATACAAAAGTTAAATCTATACTTAGTACAAGAACAGGATGCGGGTCATTGTTTCTCTGGAAATGGCTGCTGTACGTTATCCATCCATTTTTTTCCGCTTATCCGGGGTCGGGTCGTGGGGTTAGGAGCTCAAGTAGGGAGGCCCAGACTTCCTTCTCCCAAGCCACCTGTTCCAGCTAGTCTGGGGGTATCCCAAGGCGTTCCCAGGCCAGCCAAGAAACAGTCTCTCCAGCGTGTCCTGGGTCTTCCCCGGGGCCTCCTCCCGGTGGGATGTGCCTGGAACACCTCATCAGGGAGGCGTCCAGAAGGCATCCTGACGAGATGCCTGAGCCACCTCAACTGGCTCCTCTCGATGTGAAGGAGCAGCGACTCTACTCTGAGTCCCTCCTGGATGACCGAGCTTCTCACCCTATCTCTAAGGGAGAGCCCAGACACCCTACGGAGAAAACCCATTTCGGCCGCTTGTATCCGTGAATGTTGTATCTAACTAATTTTGTCCAAATGAAATAATAATCTCCTTTCACCACCTTTGCTGGGGAGCCCAATCTTGAATAAAAGTCCAAGGGCCGCCAATTGCCAGTTGTCCGCACCCTGAACACCTCATTCTACAGAATACTGACTGAAAACAAATGTACAGTCACACTTTCCCTTTTGTAAAGGACGTTGAAAGTTGGGTATCATTAAGGGGCATGAATGGTTTTATAAAACCTTGAATGTGAGTTACTGATCAACAACACACTAGGTGTTCTGATGTGCAAGGGAGGTGGTGAGAAACCACAGGAAATGGAATGCCAAAGAACTGCAGATTTTAAAACAGGATGTGTGTGAAAAGATCTCATTCCAGCTGTGTGTGTACATGTTTGTGGGCTGCCGACCTGTGCAGTCAGTCAGGTGAAGCTCAGGCCAGATCTCTCTGTTCTCCAGGTGTCATTATTTATGAGGCGCTGCCGTACCTGGAGCCGTCAGTCCCCCACCTGCCCTCCCTGCTGCTGCTCTACCTTCTGCTTCTCGCTGTGGGTAAGGAAAGAAAGCAGTCCAACTGAAAACACACACACACACAAACACACTGCATGGGGCCTTCATTATGTTGCTTTCACTTTTCTGACATTTTATCTTCATCCCATCTCAAAGGTTCTGTGTTACAAAGGTAGAACTGCTACGTTGGGCTCTGATGGACATTAGAATCCAGTCCTGATGTTCTTTGAAGATTTTCCTGGATTATGTTTCAGATCAGAGATATCTCTGATGAGGTTTCCTTTGGAATCTCAGAATGACTACAAACAGGAGCTGCAGTTGAGAGCTCTGTTAGCTAGCAGCAAGAAGGTGCTGGGTTCAATTCCAGCCTGGGCTTTTTCTGCTTTGGGGTTATCATGTTCTCTCTGTGCATGCCTGGGTTCTCTGTGGGTACTCCATTTTTCTCTCTAGGGAACTGCGTATGTGGCTACTGCTTGGTCGCTTATCTGCAGGCCACTGACTATTAGGTTCAATGGTTTCTCGAAATCAGTATTTCCCAACACTGGTCCTCAAGGAATACAGACATGCATTTTTTAGATGTTCTCCTGCTTCAACACACCCCTCATTTGTTGGTTGTATCACTTATGCACAAAACTTGGCTGTTATACGAGTACAACATAGGCACAAGTCAGGGTAATAGATCTGGTATGAGAGGGATTTCTCTGGTGTATGTGTCTTTGCTATTGCATTGTGTTGTTTACAAAAAAATACAATTAAAAGTATTTGATCAAAAAAAAAAGAAAAAAAGAAGAGTTAGAGATAAAACCCCGAGCCAGCCTTTCTAACGGCAGCTGTGTTGGTGTTTCCTGCAGGAGGCTCAGTAACAGTCTGGCAGCTGCTGAAGGAGAGGAAACACCATCTAGAGAAACGCTACAAGAGTAAGAAGAAGAAATGACTCGGAGTTGGATTATTCAGGGACAACGGGATAACTCTGTTTTCAAACCTTCTGATTCATCAAACAAACATTTCAGATTGCACAAAAGGAAAAAAGATATGCCAGATTTTTGCAGCAGTTTAATGAAAACATGTTTCTGACTAACCATAGAGCAACAGTAGCAGTTTCCACTCAAGTTTTTTTCACCAAGTAGGAGAGATGATGTTGTGTACAAATGTCACCATGGTAACACCCCACCATGGATCCTCTGAACTACCAGCTGTATGCTCTGGTCCACACGGCTTTCTTCTTGAACTCAGTGGACGACTTCAGACCCAGGAGAGCAGCTGGAATCAGATCAGAACATGGATGGTCAGCTGGACAGCAGAATTAATAAACCGTTCTAAACTGACCATTCTAACATCTAACATTACAAATCACTGTTTATATCAGGAAGGTCTAACTGATGTTCATTCAGGTGATTTGTACAAGTTGCCACGGAAACCTTCTACTACTTGCAATCAGGGGGCTCCATCTATGTGAAGTCAAATTTACTCCAATAAAGTAAATCTAACTTTATTGGAGTTCAGAGTTGAGCTTTGTTATTAAGTCCAACTCTGAATTTTAAATCCCAGAAAAAAAAATCACATAAGCTTAAAAGATAAATCACATTTTCTGTTTCTTAAAGATGTGCCTTCATCTACTGGAGATGATCATTTAAAATAAAATGTTAAAATGGCCTAAGGAAACCTGGACATCTAGGCTGCTTTCAAAGATGATGAAAAAATCTTGCTGGTTGGACAAAAAGTCATGGAATGACCGCTGGGTAGGGTCTCACTACATATTGCGCATTTATTGTATTATCAGGCTAATATATTTCTGTTGTATTTTAGCCTGATATTTAGCCAAGTTCTGAAGCTACCAAAATGCTAAAGGTTAGTTCATGTGTTTTATTTTGCATTATGATTTTTTTTTTGTGTGTGTGTTATTAGGACATTTATTTAGGAAAATTTTAAGTAGGAACTAATATTCAGGATGTTTGTTCTGCTGGGGCACCTAACAGAGATGCACCCCTCTGGTGAGGTATGAGAACAAGTGGCAGCAGAAAAGGCCAATTAAGTAAAACAGTGTAATGAATACTGAAGATTAGTCATAAGGACTTATTTTCAACCTCTAAAGACGGGTCAGCCAGCAAGGTATGTTTATATGCTATATATAAATTTTTATGTTTTTATTGTATTCATTGCACCATCTCATTGAAGTTTATGTTAGTTCGATGGTCATGACAAAGTATTCAACAAGGTGGTGCTGCAACAAATGCAACTGTAAGATTCTACATCCCATATTAAAGCCGACTACCAGTAAAACAAAGTCTATACCCTACCCTACCCCCAAGAGCTGGAAGTGATAGAGCAGGAAGTTCACATTACAAAAAGAGGAAGGAAGAGACCAAGCAGATATCACACCTGATCGTCGGAATCTTTACCTATATTATCGTCATCACAAGATTTTCTAATATTGTGATAATCAAAAACCTAAGACTGGTCTTGCTCTCCTGAAGCCAGTATCTGAGCTGGGTGTGAGCTGTAGTGGTTGCGGTCCAAGGCAGTTCTAATACCAATGAGTAAACCTATGATAAAAATCACCCACTTGAGACATTTGTTTCAGAATCACAAGAAGGAAAAAAATAAACCTAATGCCATGAAGGAAAAAGCTATTAGTGTAATTTAAAAAGGAAAAGTCCAATAGAGTATAAACTTACACATTTATTATTTCTAAATGTAAAAATAATTTGTTTGCAAATCAAAGCCTTTTCTTTTAGAATGACTCCTCTGTTTGGGTTATGTCTGTTTACTCTCACTCACTTTTAGGAACAAATGTGAGTGCATCAGGGAGAATAAACGGACTAACTGTACAGAAGCAGCTACAGAAGACCTGAGCCGTAAACAGATGGAGGAATGAAACATGCTGCACCTCTGGCTGTGCTGATGATGATGACTGACAGATTCTCTTCAGGACCTTCTGTTATGCTGAGGAGCCAGTCGATAAACTGAAACACACACACGCACACGGTTGTCATGTTGGACCTATAACCTTAAAGCCAGCAGTAAGTCACCTAACCTTACACTTCTCACCTTGTGTGTCTGGCTGCTCCATGGCTCTTTGCCTAGCAGCAGCGGCAGGCTGTGTGACACTCCCAGCATGCACTGTGGCAGAGCGAGCTCGCTGAGTGAAAGTGACCCATACAAACCATGCTCTAGTGCTGGAGGCTTGGAATCTGGTTGCCATGGGAACCATTGGGGCCTGATGCCAAAGAGAAGGGGCATGAAGTGGTCACCCCAGGAGATGACAGCAGCAGCAAAGAGCTGGAACAGGAAGTCAGTGGCCTGCAGATAAACAGCCAAACAGTAGCCACATGTTTTTAGCCACTAAAATACCATCCACACTATACATTTTCACAAAATAGTAATCATTAATAATTTGAACCCATTTAACAAATATAAATCTGAAATGTGTGGCATGCATCAGAATCCAGTCTCCTGAGTCAATACTGCCTCTACTTATTTTGCACAAACAACTTTCTCCCTTCTTTACATCAAACCTTGGTGGGTATAACAAGAGGCAGTGGAAAACAGTAGGCAAGTATGTGGATGTCCTATTCTGGTCACCATGCAACAGAAGGGACCATAGAATTTGAAAATTAAAAACCATAGAAACCCATATAGCTGTACTGATAAACTAAAAAAAGTTTAAACAATTGACATGCTTAGGCCTCAAGGTAAATTAAGTTGCAGAATATTAAAAGATTTTGCTGTAAAATGGCGTCTGATATCTGAAGAGAAGCTCTAAAAGGTTTCTGGTTTATGTTTAATAAGAAGTTGAGTCATTCCTGTGAGTTAGTTGGAGAACAGGACCTGCGCAACACATACTGAGTCATCAGTGACATGCAGCAACATGACTCACATGTGGAAAAGCAGCACTGACTCACTGACTGGATGTGTGGTGTGGCAAGGGGAGGTGAATGGACCAGACCTGACCGGACCCTACCTTCTTAGTGTCTCCAGATCTGATGGAAGTCGCTCCATAGGCGATGTTCCGGATGTGTCCCATCAGCTCCAGCAGCCACTCCATGCGCTTGGAGACACCTGACGGAGAAGCGGGCATGCTCAACACGCAGACTTAGACAGTAGAGCCGCTGTTACCAGCAGAACTGCACTCTGACCTGTACTGGTGCCAGCAGTCAGCCGACACTGGTAAAAGGCCTGCAAGAGGATCCAGCCCAGTCTGCAGCTTGACCAACCACAGAGCACACCGGTGATGACATCATTGAGGCTGAGCAGCGGAAGTCTGCCCTGAGAGGTGAGGAATGCCAGGACGAAGCAGGCTTTTTCCACCTGAGCCTGAGATTCACACAAACGCTCAGCTTTACTCACAGAGCAATTGCTCTCACTTCCTGACACCACACTGACTTCTGACCCCACACTGACCTCTGACACCTGAACGATCCTGTCAATCTCCGTGTCAGACATCTCAGACAGACACCTGGCCACACCCACATAGAGATCCACCTCAGCATCCTGAAACAAGAACAAACACCAGGAGCTGGACAGCATTCCTGTTTTGATCTTTGATTTCTCTAATTAGTAGGGCTGTGTAATAATATCAATTTTGCGATATATATCGATATTTTCTTTCCTAGAAAAAAATCGATATTCATCCGCAAGTATCGTAACATCCAACTCACTCACTACTTGCTTCGCCGGGAGAGTGATTAGGTCATCAGGCTTAGAGTGATTCCTTCAAATGTTAAGTGTCAAGGTTACAAAGGTATCAAACTATTCTGAGCAGGGTACTTGGTGCACTTAATTTACTTTACAAAGGCATGTAAGCTACAGTTTATACTGTAAACGAAACATGTTTTCTCACCACTTCTTTAATTCATTTTGTCCAGCTGTCGACTTTAAGTCTGTGTCCATGTCCAACCAGAGCCAGGTATAGTGTAGTTGGTGCTTTTAATCAGTGTTCAATTAAATTAATTCAATCTAACTCTATAACAGTCACAAAATGTCACCAAAATCACTCTGTCCCTCTAAAATCTTTCAGAAAATTGCAAAAGTGCATTGAATTGTATCGTTTGCTGAATATCGCAATATATATCATATCGTGAGCAGAATATTGTGTATCGTATCGTGAGATTATTGTATCATGATTGTATGTATGAGTAGAGTGATTAACTTTGTTATACAGAAACTTTGTTCCCAAAACACAGACGCAAAAAAACACAGACTTCTGTTCAGTGCTTTGTCAAAGTATTCACATCCCTTCTCCTTTGTCTCATTACAACAGCAGGTGACGGCAAAAGGATGCAGATTTGATTCAAAAATAGTTAAAAGGAAATTAAATGTCATAACTCATATCACCTGTAGACAGGAAGGATCTCCAGTTAGCAGTCAGTCTTCTGAATAGGTCTCTGACCGAAGACTATTGCTGTGTGACAGTCTCATGACTGTCATGTCATGCTAACAGCTCAATATCTGGGCAGCAAACATATTTCACAGTAACATGTCCAGGATGACACAGTTGTTGGCAGCTCTTCTAATCTGCTTCATTAGCTTTGGCTGCTCCACTTTAAGGAGCACTCTGCACTTTGACGAGACCATTCGAAAACATGAACATGCTTTCAAATGGCCTTTGACTGCTACCATCAAGAAGACGGCAGCCATCTTAGTTTGAAAAAAAAAAAAAAACATGAATCCTTTTTCTTATGCTTTAGCTATATACTTATAAGGGCAGATATTAAATGGATTCACTGTGATGAATTGATTATTGGAATAATAGTCAACTAATTTACTAATCAATTAATCATTAACTGGTGAATACAGACTCAAAAACGCATTTTACTGAAAGAACAACACACTCAGTACAGTAAATAAGCCAAAACTGTAAAATAAATATATCCATTTTGCAATTAAGATAAAAAAAAACTTTTGTTTGAAAATATGTTCTACCCAAAACTCCTCAAGTAGCAGTTTTATTTTCACCTGCTTCAAATTCACTATAGGAATGCCATTTTTGCATTTTAGGCTTTTTATTTTCTTATTTAAAAAATGAATTGATTTTTTTTAACTAGCATCTTATAATATATTTTTATTGTATACGATAAATGCGTGAATTGTTCGATTCAATGAAAAATCTGTATAATGTGGCAATTTTTTCTTACCAGATTAATCATCAGAATAATTGATTACTAAAATAATTGTTAGTGTTAGCTATGTGTATGAAGCAGAACATATCAACAAAAAACACTACCATTACTGATATTATATAAAGTCTAAACTTTAAAAAGTCGTGTCCTCATCCTGCTTGGTGAGGCAGCAGAAGGTTCATCCTCTATTCAGTTGTGAATGTGTGCCAATGTGTAACTATGGCAACAAGATGTTGTTTCAAGGCGAAGCTGTAATAGGGTGGAGCTGTAAAGGAGTGTTGACCCCACCTGGATGTGGCTGGGCAGGAGGCTGAAGGCTGTCTCGACGGTGGAGCAGAGGGTGGTCCAGCAGTGGCTGGGGGGGTTAGGGAGGGCCATGGCCTGAGCCATGCCCTGTAGCAGAGGGACACATAGGGAGCGCCTTTGGAACTGCTGCAGGCCCAGGTTCTGCACATACACCTGCAGCTTGTCCTCCGCTACCTGCTTCATCCACACACCCAGGGTCTGGTAGAGGTGGGCCCAGGTGTGATGCTGCAGGGGGGGAGAGGAACTCGTATGAAAGCTCTGCTTGGATCTCGCTGCAGCCATGATGAAAAGGACAGGAATAACCAACACTGAGGCTGTGGACGAGTGGCGGGGACAGCCAGGACCCCAGGAAGAGGGACGCACTCTGGGAGGACTGGGCCTGGGACGCCGCCAGGACTACACACTGATGCTGGACGCCTTCTCCTGTTAAAGTCAAACCACACCTTGTGGTCACCTGTAGGGCATGTGAGAGGTAGGTGTGTGTGTGGGGAGCATGGGGAGTTACCAAAGCTGAGCCTCATCAGCGGGGACAGGACAGCGCTCCAGTTAACGGGGGGGAACTGGAAACCAGCTCCTACTGACGCCATCGAGGTCAGGACTGCCCGAACCAGAGCAGGTGGGGAAAACTCTGGACCTGCAGCCGCAGTCACAACCCAGATCTCACACTGCATAGTTACACACACACACACACACATACCTTTTCAGGAGAACACACCTTTCCTTCCAGCTTCAGTGAGGAAGTCAGTTATAGATCTGATGATGCTGCTCTCTGGGAGGTAGCTGAAGTCTTGAGGAACTGATGGAGAGAGACAGAAGAATCACAGATCGGAGCATTGCTACAGCAACAGGCCTCATTCAAGCATTCATCATCTTCGCTTCAAAACTACAACGTTCAACACATTTCTGAGGAAACATTTCCACTAATAATTTATGTTATTTTGCAACAATAACATGTTGCAAAATAACAAAATATATTGCAAAAATAACTGCAAAATTTGCAGTTTGCAAATTTATGTTGCAAACTGCAACATAAATTTAGAATAATGAAGTGGAAGGAAAATAGAGCACAGTTTTCAGAGTTGATATTTCGGGGTAGTGGGCGTCTCAGTGGGTGGAGCAGAGGCTGTAGTCACTCTGAAGGATTTTCTAACTTTAACATCAGATCTGCCGCTTTAACCACAAACAAGTGTATGATGAAAAAAATACATGTTTTTGAACATAATTTGATAGTTAGAAGCTACAGTTAAAGCCCCCTCTCCTCCTCACCATGGGCCCAGTGTCTTAACATGGAGGCAGAGGCACTGAGAATCCTCAGTCATTATTACACTGAGGGCAGGCAGACTCGTTTATTTTTGCAAAATTGTTATTTTTAGCTAAATATTATTGTTAAGGGTCACAAGCAGGCCTCCTGATGCACAAAATGTTAAAAAAATATTTTAAAAAAGGGCACTGGGGCATCAGGGATAAAAGGGGAAGAGAGGCTCACCCCTCCTCCACGTGTCTGTGGAGTTGATTGATTTTATTGTTCTGTCAATCGAGGGCGTAGGAACAAGTTTATCATTGGGGGTGACACGTATCGGAAACCTGAAAGATCCGTAAATAGCTTGAGCAAAAATGTCAAACAATGGTGTCATCAATACTTTACTCTAATCTGACCCCTTGTAATGAGTAATCTAATGTGTTACTATTTACAATCCAATAATCAGATTAAAGTTATGTATCCAAGTTACGTATTTGTAATTTTTTTTTTAGAAAACACATATTGTTGCTTTCTTCTTTTTCCTTGGGGAGATACGTTTCATGTGTAACACCAGCGACACAAACGTAAACGATGGAGGGAAAAGAGATGCACATTTTCTAGCTGATAGATGAATTTTTCATTGAGTAATCAAATTACTCTTTCAAAGTAACTATGCCATCCATGGCAATAAACTAACTACATATATATCATATGTGTGTAGACCTGTCACAATAACAAATTTTGATTTTTGATAAACGATATTATTGTTGTTTTGAGACCATTTTTAATTAATAAAATGTTAATGGCAAAACAATAATGCAAGAACACAATCTGAAAGATCAGTAAACTTTAAATTATAATGAATATTTAACACTGCAACCGGAAGACATTTCAAATATCCAAAATAAATAAACAAAATGACAAATAAAATGAATTTTGAAGTCTTTGTAAATAAAATTGTCCTTCAAAAAAAGGTTTAGTTGAGACCAAAGCACCATCCTGAAAGCTTTTATCATACAGTTTTTGGTAGAAAGAGAGAGAAATAAAAAAAGAAACGATAAATCATGCCAATGGAAATTATTGAATTTGTTTT